CTACTAAACTAATAATAGTTTTGCTGAATTAGTATCACTAACATGGATTTTGATTTGAATTAAGGTCAGTGATTAACAATAATTAAATAGTTAATTTTTTACTTTTTTTAAAAAGAGAAAAGAAAAGAAAAGCAATCTAAATAGCTAGCTATTGTAAAATTTATTATACTTATAGAAGTTAAGTGGAATTGATATTTATTAATTTTAAAAATTTTAATATGAGATTATTAAAATTAAAAATTCAAATGCTTACAAATACAAAAAACCTCCTACCTACTAATAAAAAATTGTAAATTTTATTATCAATATTGCTATATACATACCTTGCAATAGTTGCCAATATAATTTTGAATGGAAAATGTGGCTACCAACTGTTTAAGTTTTAGGTAAAATATAAATTTATTACCTAAAATGCAACGATATAAAATAACACATAAAAAGTTGCTATCGAGTTCTATGCACGATAAATGAATGAATAAAAAAAGAAAAAATAATTTACCTAACCATCAAGTCAGTCTATACATAGAAGAATTTCTAGTTTCTAATTTACTGTTATATTACACGGCATTGGAGACATTCTATTCTTTGCAAAGCCCAGTACCGATCTCTAACTGTTTAAGTTTTACCAGATGTACTCAAACCCCAGATGATGGCTTCAAAACCGAAACGAGATAATTTAAAATCTCCAGTTTATGCCCTCAAAATCAACGATAACAATTGGCTAATTACCGTGAGACAAACCGATCATTGAAAAACTGACAAGTTGTAAGGTTAAGACTTAGTAGTCCAAACGTATGTCGACATAATCTTGTCATAATGACATCCACCATTTCACATTATGGTAGGTCCTAACTAGGTTATAGAGGTTTTAACGCCTTTTTTTAAAGCGATATTAATTTGTTGATAAAGCCTATTAACAACAAAATCTTACTGCATGCATAACAGCGCAATTTTATCATTTGAAATTCTTTTTATTTATATCAATTATTTAAATGATTTAAATAATTTAATTGTAATATCTTTTCAATCAAATTAAGAGATTTTAAATTAAATTAACATGACAAACAATTAAAATAAATTTTAAAAAAATTCTTTTCACTCACATGAGACATGCCCAATGATATGTCGTCAAGATTAACCAAGAGGAGTGAGCTGTGGATCACAAATTAACTCATTAGGTATAGATAGGTGTTTACCTTTGTTGATTTAAGCTCCTTATCATTTACTTCTAGCATATGTTTGAAAAGTAGCTTTTGTGCGTCTTACATCTTTTTCATAGCACATTTTAACTTAGACGCACCATTTAAGATGAAATTAATAAGATGGGTGTGAAATCTTTCTTTTCCACCTTTTTCATCCATAATAGTAAGACAAAATTGTCCTTCATTTACACAAGGCAACTTGACTGCAACAAATTAATTGTTTTGATGTTGAGTACAAAAAAAGTACTCCTAAATATGGTGCGAGGACCAAACCCACAACTTTCGTCTTTAAATTCTAAATTACTGAGCCTGAGGTCTCGTTGACATTGAATGCAATAAATTAACACACTGTCTAGTTTTAAATCATTTATATTCATATATGTCAAAAGAAAATACAGCAGTGAGAAAGCCACACACATCGATATTTACAGCACCTGTACATAAGGATTTTTGCTTTAAAGCCCGCTTATTTATGAATCCAACAGCAACAACATTCTTAGCAATTTATAATTGCATATCCAACTGGACATGTGGTAAGAGTAAACACTTTACATCATGTTATATAGATTTTTTTACCCAAATTCCCCTTTTTATGCACTTTTTGCTTTCCACCATTGAATATATATATATATATATACATCCAATATAATTGGAGAATATTCTTCGTCCTTCCTTTGCTTTTAGCTCATCATGCTTCCATTTTTTTTGGCACCAATTCACTTCAAAACAAGAACAAAAATTATAATAAAGGAGATGATCATCATGTTCATAACTAAACAATTAATTAAGTAAATTAATGGAAGCTTACGGTTTTCCTTGAAAAGGGAAAAAATGGAAAAAGGCTGGCAAATATTATATTCAAAGAGTGAGAATCTCAGAAAAACTAACCGGGGAGAATTTTGGAGGGTGATCAACAAGGGCGAAATCACCGTTCGCTTGGGAAAACAGCATGGCATACATGGTGTCAGAGCAAACTTGGATCATCGCGCTGCTCTCCAGCGCGCGGCGTCTCTCTGCTCTTAGCCGGCTGCACTCAACTTCAAGCTCTCTCAGCTTTGCCTTTTCTTTCTTCTGGGACTGCTTCATGCTTTTTGTCTCCACCTTCATGGCGGCGACTGCCACTTCCATGGTCCGGAGAGTCTCCATCTCTCCCTGTTGTGTTCATATTCAAAAAACAAAAAAATCAAACAGTCAACAAATCAAGAAAAGAAATTAACCCCGATGAATGGAAATCGGTACCTGATACTGAAGGCGCTCCCTTTTCCACTGGCGACGTGACATGGCCGATGGGTATCTATGATATATTTTTCAAGAAACCAAGAATTAGGGAAGAGAAAGACTAAGGCGAAGGGATGCGAAGGGAGGATCCCTGTCCCCATTCACCTTTTTATATGAAAAAAGGGAGGGAGAATGCAAAGGATATTCGTTACCCCTTTTGGTTAGGTGATGGACTACATAACTACAGTTTCTGTCGCCATTTTTTTTAATCTGAATTCTATTGGAATTTTGGATATTACTTTTTTTATGTAAAATTTAAGACTTAAACCATAAAATTATAATTAAAAACATAAATAATTCTACCATTAGAATATATAATTAATTATAAATTTTAAATATTTTTAGTGCAGAATCCATGATACCAGGTATCCCAAACCGTTTTGTGCACTTAATTTTCCATTGCCGTTCGGACACGCGTGATTCTTTTGACCGATCGCGCGATCTTCTCCCTTTTTTTTTTTTTTTGAAATTTTGGCATTTCATTAAATATTTTATGGCTTTGGGAGTTGGTAATTTCTGCCAAGAAGATGGAGATTCTATGTACATTATTATACGATCAATTGGGCCTAATTTTCCACGTGTATGATGGGCACTACAATGGATTTTTTTCCGACACTAATATTAAGAGAAAATAGGCAGATAATAATACTTATTTTATATTTTTAATTTAAAAATATAAAATTTTAAATTATGTGGTAAATTTTTATTTTTTAAAATAAGATATTAATTTTTTATTTTTTATTTAAAGATACGTTTGATGATGATAATGACACAATAAGGAGCAATCTTAATTAAAATATAATAAAATTTATATTTTTAAATAAAAAATAGTAAAGTTTATATCTTTAAATAAAAAATAAAAGTTTATTATTTTTTTATATAAATCTAAAAAATTTATATCCTTCAGTAAAAAATACAACAAAATTTTATTCCTTATCTCACTTTTTCTCCTATTATTAAGAAGGTTTGTTTTTTATTTTTTATTTTTTATTTTTTGTTTTTAAATTAGACAATCAAAGTGATTTTGGACCAATTTCACTGATATAAAATAGAGTATAATCAATAGAAATATAATTGATAAGAATAATGAAATATATGCCCTGTAAAATTATATATTACGTTACATATTAACAAAAACTATTAATTTGTAGCGGAAACCATATGTCGATGATGTATACGTGTCAAACTTATATCAATTTTTTTATGATATAATTGACAAACTGTATGTTAATTATATCGCTATAAATAACAATTAGTGTGGCTGGTTGATTATTTTTTATTAATTTAGGATCCATATAATTAATAGAAATAATAGGCGATTATAATTGTAAATTTTTTATAAATTCACCGTTACATCCAAACAGCACTGTAATTTATAGTTGACATAAGCGTGTGGATTAAATTTAAAATGAAGACGTTTAATTTATATTTATAAATCGAAGATTAAATTTCAATTTAGTCTTTAAACCTTATATTTTGAACACTTTTAGTTTATTAACTATTTTAAATATTTTTTTGGTCCCTTTACCCCCACAAATTGTAATTTTCATTTTTCCATCAATTAAATAATGATATAACTATTAACTCAATCTAAAATACATTTTGATGATGTGACTAGCATTGGATGTTATGTTTTTGTTTGTTCCTAACTGCAACTCGATAGTTTCATTTATTCTTAATTACTTTTTAACATTTTATAAAGAGTTTGGAATACACTTTTATGATAAAAACAAATACATTATAATAAAAAATACACAATAAAAAAGGGTTTTAAATTAATATAATGGTATGAGAGCCTCAAATGTTCAACTTTGTTTCTTCCCTATTTGTCCAATTGCCGAATCCAACATGAAGGTGTGACTACTTTGCAAGGCCTAACATGAATGTTAGGATTGTACCGAGTAGGTGGGTTCTCTTTGTTAGCCAAGGATAAATTAAGTAGAAAAATCTCATACCAATTAAAAATTAAAAATAAAAACATATGTCCTTACTTTGGCTTTTTTTTTTTCCTTTAAAAAATTGATTCATTGATAAGAAAAAACATAGAATATAATGTGTTAAAGAGACGATCTAGTCACTTAATACCCTAATTTGCTATGAAAAATGCGTCACTTAGGTATAAACTAAAGTAGTTTGAACACAAAAAAACCTAATAGAGAAACCAATTAATAAAAACTTGAAATCATCCACTCTATCCTAATTGCTTCTCTTATCTCTCAAGCGTTACTTATACTATCACAACACATCCAATATCATAACAGTTTCAGATGATAGTTAACTAACTTTTCTACCCTATACCTTCATCACCAAAAATGAGATTTGATATTGATAAAATCCAAACAAGTCTCATCACAAAGGATAAAACATTTGTTAATAAAACCCAAACAAGCAACTCTAAATCACTCTCAAAAAGTAGAAACACACTCTTTAAGAATTTCTCCACCACCCACCATCGCTAACATATAACAAGAGTTACTCCTATATATTCAAACCACTCAGATAGATATATATTCTAGCTACCAATTTATGCACAAAGCAAAAGCATCCATCTATAGTATTGTAATTGTGTAACTTGAATTCAAGATTGTACTTAATGAACAATGAAATACGATTAGGTAAGCAAAAAAAAAAAAAAAAGAAGGGAAATTTCAAAACAGAGAAACAAGATTGTGAAACTTAATTAGGCGTGGTGCAAAAAAGATTTCTATAGAGACTATCATTTACTTTTTCGAAAGTTAAGGAGTAAAACATAAAAATAAAAAGCTCAGGTGTTGAGGTGACCTCCTTGCAGCCACACGGATCATGCCTGAGGATTGACATCCTCTAAAGACTAACTTCAGGGAAGATTAAACCTCAATAAATAAAACAAAAAATAGGGAAAAACAAATGAGCCATAGAATGAAATGATGAGACGAGAGAAAAGATGGGGAGGAGCAGCATGAGAAATGATGAAATACAAAATGATGCGTTGACCTGCACTCATGGCCCGGTCGATGACTGGTTTAGATCTAAATTATGACCACAACTTTGTCCTTTTTTTGTTCTAATCAACAACTTTATTAATTTCTATCTTTGCCATGGAAATGGAAAACAAATACATCTGTAACCTGTTCGGAGCGCAGCATGTTTAAATTAAGATTGTGCTTGTGCAACTTCATCCTTGTTACTAATTAACTAAGCAGGATAGCAATACAAATTACAAAAGCTGCAAGGTTCTAGAACACCACGACACATATGTATTTGATAAACTTAATGGAACAAAGTGAGGGCAAACGCCAACTTAATTTAATTAATTAGCAATATTTTAGATGGAGCCGCGGAAGCTATGCCTGCACTCTACCGACAAAGCCCCGCTGGAGGAGGAGATTAGTTTCCTCTCTCAGTTGAGCACATTCTACTCTGATCTTTTCAAAGTGTTGTTTCACTTCCTTTTGTCCCTCTCTTAACCTTGATTGTTCCTCATCTAATGCTGCCATTTCTAACTTAAGTTCTTCCATCTTCGCCATGAACCGCTTACTTACTCTACGTTCCTGGTCACATAAATAATGATCAAAATTTATACACAAGAAGATGAACAAATTGTGGAAAAAGTTGGACAAAAGAGATGTTTTTTTTTCCATACCTGATTCCTCATTTGATATGGTCTTCTCTCAATAAAGTGTCTTTTTGGTTTCCCACTTGTGAAAATGAAGCAGTGCCGAACAATCGAACAATGAATAATAATTTATAGTGAGAGTAAAGTTGACCTGTTGTTGGGATAGAAAAATTGTCGTTTCGGATCGGACCGTTGATCGGGTGAGTTGAACTTTCCGAACGACACAGAGCTTTAGATTTACGATATCGAGCGATGGTGAGCGCGTAATTGTGCCAAATCGTTCGACTTCGCCTTTATTTTTGGCCTTTAGTCTTTTCGCCGATTTCCGTCTTACCATAAACAATATCGACCGACTGACGTTCGACTTTTTTTGCTCGTGAGTTCCAATAAAGTATTGAATCTGACATGGCCACATGGCTACCGCATGTGGTTATGGGTATGATCCACAATAAAATCGGCAAGGTCATTAAATTTAATTTAATTAATATTTTTAATTTTTTAAATATATAATTATAATATTTAAAAATATAAAAATATAAAATTATTTTAATTTATTAAGTAATAAATATTATTTATTAATTAATTATTAATTATTTTTAATAATTAAATTAAACAAAATTTATATTTTTTAACACAATTTTAATAACTTTAATAATTTTGTTAGTAACTATAACTATAATTATTTAGTCTATGATCTTTCTAATTTTTTAATATAAATTTTTTTTTATTTTTGTTTTTAAATTAAAAAACAATTCTTTCTCATTTCTCACCTCACCCTATTACATGTTATATAATTTAAATTTAAAATTTTTATTTTTAGTAACAAAATTAGGTTAAATACCTTTTTTGGTTTCTCTACTATAGAAAAAGCTTTTTTTTAGTTCCTGTACCGAAAAAATTCCCTTTTTAATCCTTACTGTTTGAAATCCAACTTCTTTTTGGTCCTTCTGTTAAATTTTGGCTGATGTGGCAGGTTAACTAATGGAAAAACTTATTTTTTTCTTTATTTTAATTATGTGGAAAATACACCTGGTATAACTTGATGACATGGCCAAGTTTTTTTGTTTAATTTAACTT